ATTAGTGCATTAAGAAAAATAAAAGCTAATTTAATTTAACTTTTACAAATTATTTGTACTATACTTAAAACTTGAAGTCATTTTTTATTATCTTCAGTGCCTTTAGTGATATAATCAAGAAAATTTTCTAGATTTTTTCAATTTTTAAAATTGTAAAAGAGTATAAAAACTTATTTATAATATATATATATTTTAATTATATTTCTACTAATTTAGATGTTTATATGTTTCATAGCTATATTTTTTATTTGATGTTAAAATTTTTTAAATTATCTTATATATTTAATAGTATTAAAAATTGATTAATCTGACTAAATACATCGATTCGATATAACTTAAATTAATTTAATTATTATATAATAATAGATTAAATTAATTTAAAATTAATATAGATTTTTCTAACCTATATTATAAAGACCTATATTAAAAACTTAAAAAAATCCACCAAACACACCCATAAATCTGATACCACACAAATTCCTTTTTATCATAAAAAGATGAACGACAGTTAATTGTACAAATGGGTCTCTAAAAATTAAGACGTGAATTGACGTGATGTACATTCAAAGATTTTAAGCTCCAAAAGCACCTAATAGCAAATCGACATGCAACCCCAACCTATCTCCCACCCTACAGGGTATTTTGACTAAATTAAGATTTCTATTTTTTTTATTAAAAAAAATTATTATTGAACTAAGCACATAACATTCAGTGGTTTGTATTAAATTTTAAATGTTTGAATTTAATTAATTGAATTTTTTTTTTTGAAAATAGGTGATGGAATTAATTGAAAATTTGAGTCTTCTAAACAACTCGAAAAAAAATCCCTATCCCCCGTGATTCTCCCATGTTAAAAAAAGAAAAATTATTATTGAGTTATTGTATGGATGATAATTAATCCCTACCCTACAAAATTTTGTGGGGATATTTATCTTGTGCAAAAATATTATAGTTATTTATGTGATATTATAAATTGATAATATAATATATTATTATATAATTATATTTTTATATAAAATTTACTCATAATATTATATGCATTACTTATTTAATATTATGTATATCATATTTTTTAATATCAT